GAACGCACCTATGCCGACATTTGACAGAGCAGGGTGGTTCAGCGTCGTCAAAATCATAAGTTGTAAGGATGATCCCTCGTTAGCATAGGTAAAGAGAGCGGTGAAAGACCTCAAAGTCTTATGGGAGTCAGATTAGTCAATTATCTTAATATATAATATTATATTAATATTATATATATAATTGTATTGAGCTCGAGGCCGTTTTTAAATGAAAAACTATTGTGGACAAGCAACAATTATTTCTTATTTTTTGAAAAAATGGTAGAAGTGATAGCTATTTCGGAAATCACCACATTTACTCATCAGACTTCTTTCAGTAGGATGCGAACCGACGATCCCACTGACCCAGCCGGTTGCCTACGCACTTTTTCATGTGTTAAGCCAACACAATTTTAATTATGGAAAAAATAAAATCAATGCGGTGAAAATAGGCAAAATTTTCGCGTTCAAAAAGTGAAAAAAGACTGTGTAAAGAAATTATAAATTTTCTTATGAATAGTGAAGTAATTAACTTTTTTATGCTTAATGTTTGTGTGTTATCATGAATTTGTATGCTAAAATGTCTCTTCCCTATTTATATTTTCGCGACTGTAGATGAGTCTGGAAAAAGTTGCATTTCTTTTAGTTTCTATATCACATTTGTTAGATAATATTTGGATGTTACTACATACATATGTATGCATGTTATATAAAGGGTTCTGCAGTAAGAGCGGGTAGATGTTAAGCAATTTATGTATATATGAGTTATTAATGGAATATCGTTTAAATAAAGGATTCTAAAAACGTTTGCAAAAAGCTTTCTTTTGAAAATTTTTAGTAAGTTTTTATTCATTACTAGCAAAACCCGGCGAACTTCGCCCCGCCCAAAATTAATTTTTTTATTAAAACATTTGGTCCAACGTTTTCGCCAGCAATTCACGTTCACGTTTGGTTTTGTGGTCGACAGAAGGCATATCCTCCATTGCCGTTTTAAATAATCTGAACAGAGCGTTATACCGGGAAGAAGGCTCGATAGTGAATCGTCCTTGAATCTGTATAGTATGGTTTGTGGCAATTTCTAAACTGGTGAGTATCATTGGTCCAAACTCTGTTTAGTCACCGTAAAGCATTGACCGCAATGGTTCAGATGGTTGATTTAACGGGAGTGATTTGACTTTGATCCCTTGTGGCTCCGAATCGACGATTTTTAGCAATAACTGGGCTCCAGCGCAACTAAAAATTATCATTAAATCGTTTCGGTCGTTTAGGAGGAGTTAAGCCACCAGAATAAGTCTTTTACATACTGACACTCTTCGGTATTTTTTCACATACACAAAAACTATCACGCATTCGTTATACGGAGAAAATGCGCAACATCATTAGCGAAAAAAATTCTCTAAAATCAACTGTAACTTATAGCCATTGAAAAATTGCACTTTAGGATACTGAAATTGAGTGAACTACAAAACTGCATACTCAAAATTTGATGCCATTTGATGAAAAATGAACTATAATTCTATAAATAATTAACAAAAAAATTTTGTATGGAAAAGAAAAAAGCACTGTATTCTGGGTGTATATATTTACAGATAGGTAAAAGTTTCAATATGTGGAAAGCGCCACGTCCCTTTTCCAGTAGCCCCAAAATCTCTTACCAATTTCCAGGACACTACCACAAATACTGCCAGAGATATATGGTATGAAAAAATGTATATGCATGGATGATGCCACGCTCCTTTGATATATCGAAAGTCTGCAGTAGGTGTCCAAAATTTCAAGAAATCAGTACAGCCGTTCGCGAGATCATCTCTTATAAAAAGGAGCTTCTCTTTATAAGTACCACAGCGCAACACCAGATTTTGAGAAAAATGTGGTGAAAGTGTCAAAAAATCGCGTTTTTGCAATATTTCAGAAACTTTAGCAATGAAACAAAAGGTCATAGAACAGTGGTCGGCAAAAGTTAAACTGTTTTTGTGTTGGTAAGCACAAGAGAACTGCTTCGCATGAGCAACCCAGTAGGAAATTACGAGAAGTGAAACAAAATTTTTAACTTATCGGTCTTCAATAAAAACACATAAATACGTATATTTAACACATACATATGTACATATATGTGCATCGCTCATTTACTATAAAAGTATCATAATCCCAATAAAGCAAAAATCGGGTTAAGTATGCAAGAATGTACATTAGCTCTTTCTTATGATGTGTAAAAATTTTATGGATTACTAGTAGCTCACTAGAACAAAATTAACCTTATCCTGACTTTCGCCCGAAAAAAAATTCATCCGAAAAATGTTCATCCGCGCATAGTAAATTCACGGAAACAAAAAGTGAAAAGTGAACCGGCTTGGAGAAAATGAAACTCATGACAAAGCTGAATATGTATTAATTTTTCCCTCGGGAGTATATGTAAATTCAAAACTTTAAAACTGGTTTTCTCGAGTTTATAGTTTTTTGAGTTATGAAAATATTGAAGTAAAACTCAAATAAAAAATTTAAAAATTCATTTGGATTCCTCAACGCCAAATATTGAAAATTTAAATAAAAAAATTGAAATTCATGTTCATCAAAATTTTCCATATCATTATGAAATGATTAAAAATATCTTTTAATCGCATCATATATGTAATACTCCTATATTGGCAGTAAGAGCTAGTACCGTCCGAAAACACTACAGTACAGATATATCAATAAACACGTACGAAAGAAAAGGAACACATACGTTTATAAATAAACATGTACACGACACATTTACAAAAACGGCACTCAAGTACACAATACATTGACAAAAACAGTACTAGACTGTCTCGCTTTGATTTCGGAATGCTTACACATTGAGATGTTAGCTTACTACCAATATAGAAGTATTACATATATGAATCGCATACATATTCCCTTTAACAACAACCCTTTAATTCCTTGGAAAAAAAATTTACTTTTTTTCAATAAAAAGTCGTTGTGTTTCTTCTTCATCAAAATATTTCCTTATGAAAAAAATCAAAATGTCTTTGAATAGCATATTCTTTAATTTTTAAATTACCTGTAACACAAAAGGCATTGCATGTCACCAAAAGCATTTTCAAGCATGTAATATTTCTCGCAAGGCATTTTTGCATTCAAGAAACAAAGCGCAAAAGCCAAACACGATGTTGATTGCTCAGCGACGACTAAACGAAAGAGCGTAACAAATGCGTGTGATGAGAGCTTGTACAATTGTACTATGGCGTGCCGACCATTGTCATAGAACCTTCCACATAGGATTAAATTAAAGCTAGAACTACAGACTACTATCCCTGAAAGTACTATTCCCGCACCTTGCCCTGATGGTCACCTATACTCATTTACTTTTTATCGTCCTACAATAAAAAAAAATACTGGAAAATTATGCGATTGAAAAAAATGATGTAAAAATCAGTGTCAGCAGTTCAATAAATGACTATAGGTGAGCTTAGGGTCAAGGTGCAGGAATGGTATTTTCAGGGATTGAAGTCAGAAGTCCAAGCCTTAATTTAATTACTTGCGGTAGGTACTCAAACTACCCAAAATCAGTTATTCCTTTTAACAAATTACTATAAGTGACCATCAACATCAAGCAAAGGTGCAGGAATTTGCAAGGATATTATTCGAGATCTTTAGCTTTAGTCAAAGCCTAAGTGGAAGGTTCTACCACCTTTGTTTCTTTGCTAGAGCTTCTCAAATATTGAAAAAAACGCGATTTTTTGACACTTTGACCTCGTTTTTCTTATAATCTGGAGCTGATGGGAACTTTATGCTTACGGATTCGTAATCAGCACACAAAAATTCGGCAAAAATAGCGTTAACATTTGCTGCATTGAATTTTTTCACATTTTTGGCCTATGTAATAAGAATTGTTAAATAGCCAATACCCGCATGTTTGCGTCGCCTTCAACCACCTTTCAAACTGTAAAACAATGACACGATCTATTCTACGCATATCTATAATACGGGTATCGAATTTCAAACAAATCGGACCATAAATACGATTTTTTGGAATAGATAGAAAAAAATATCCTATATGTTAACCCAGCCAATAAGCTACCTACATATGTGCCAAATTTCAAACAAACGAGACCATAAATAAGACTTTTTCGAATAGGTCGGTCCGTGGCCCACGTAACGGAAAAAATGGATCCTATATGCTAATCTAGGCGAAAGGTTACCAACGAACCAAATGCATTTTCTTAGCGTAGCTCGACCCCTGTGCCACCTATCGGAAAAATTAAAACTTTGTGCACTCCTTTTAAACATCTTTCCAAAAAGCAGCAACCATTCGAATCGGTTATGAAACATAGGAAAATTGTTCCCAGTTGATTCATGCTCCCAATGAATTTCACAATTGTCCGAAATTTTCCAAGCTTTCGTCGAAAAAAATTCAAATTTTTTGCGTCCTTCCGGATTTCTCCGAGTTTTCCACATTGAATTTCTATTTTTCCATTCGAATGCCGTTCCGAAGGTATTGCACACAAAATTGCATACAAAAAAATAAATGTTCGATTTTTCCAATTTTCCGACTTTCCCGGAGGGTTTTCTCAAAATTTTCTTTCGCAAAAACCTTCTCCTGGCAATTACGAACAACTAAAAAAAATTTTTGCCTAATCGGCCCAACCGTTCCCAATTGATGAATTACTATAGATTTTTCACACCATTTTTATATAACTTTTTTCCCCTTTATTATAAGTTTACATTTAACGCTTATAAAAAGCTTTCTTTTGAACATTTATTATAGGTTTATATTTCTACACTTATAACCAAGGTTCCATTTCGATTATATTACGCTCACTTTCAAGCGTTTTATAAACAAAAAATCTACGTTTTGTAAGCTTAATGTTTATAATTGTAAACTTAAAAAAAGCTTTCTTTAAGTTTATTTTGCTTGTTGGGTATGTACATACATCGTGTTACACAAAGTACATATGCATGTATTTATAAGCATGCAAATATACGCTTGCTGTATACTAGCAGTATATTAGTTTTATTCAGCGTATCTTATACTTTACCTTTAAATTGTGTCAAAGCGTCTTCATAACCCACAACATGGGTTGACTGCTGTGAAGGCGCTGCCGAATGCTTGGCTTTTTTTGCTGGACTAGTTTCCACACCAAAATCAATATCACTAATTCTTGTGTTTTCATGTAAAACAGGTATTTGATCTGAGTGATGCGAATAACTGGCAACATTTTGCTGAAGATGTGTTTGTGTGCTAACGTAATGTTGCTTGTGTGGGTCGTCAAAGTGTTGGTGTTTCGAGTTTTTTCGCACCTGAGGCGATGACGCAATTGATGGCTCATTACTTATGTCGTTGGGATCGAAACCCAACCGTTCTTTGTAGTAAGCGTGGGATGTCATTGCCGGAACTACCACTCAAAATGACGCGATTTTTTATGTATTAATAATTTCACCTCTTTTGGTACTTAATTACACATGTACATATACCAACTTGAAACGTTTGTATGTTTATGTAAATAGAGACGCGAGATTATTCTTACACCAGTAACTAAAAGTCATTGAATGGGTGGCCGTTTTTTTTTAATAGGTAAAGGGTTAACTTATTAGGCCCAATGACAAAATCTTGAGAACTGTTTTATTTCCTAAAAGTTTTACTGACTTTAATTGATAGTTGATTAGAAAAATATAAAAACTAATAGAAACAACAATTAAATAGTAGCTAAAATATAGTACCAACAAATATTTATCAGATACTCCATATACATACATGGAGATACATACGATATAACTTTTTCTATAGTTTTAAAGAAATGCGGAAGTTTTTAGGTTTACACATTAAGTATGAATTCATCAATGGCACAATCGATAAACGATAAAAATTACTCGGCTGTAAAAGGCGTAATCAAGACGGTGTGTTCAAAGTAAGTTTTATAGGAATCTGCGTGCAACAGGTTTTCGTCGCTGCTATAAGATACAATTACATATTTTTTAATTGAAGTATTTGTCAAGTATTCACTTTTCAACTTAATTTCACTTCATATCTTTGCATTTATCAAAACATATTTCAAAAACTTATTCCCATTAAATGGAGTTTGATTTTAATTCACAATACCGTAAGCTATATATGTACATATATAAACTCGATATAATATGCAAATATTTACGATTTCTCAACAAACGTGCGACACGATAGTTCGTATCATACTGACTACAAAATAAAAATGTACGTTGAATATACACTTAACCAATATTAGTACAAAATACGAGTAGTATTGAGAACAGCCATAACCTTGAGTGCTACCGCTCGCTATTTACTTAAAGAGTAACTTTACTTCCATTGTGTGGGTTGTGCGATCAAAACCGTTCACTTTTTAATACCCGCAGAGAGTGCATTTCAAAGCAGAATTTAAAGCCCAATAGAAGAGTACATACACATCGTGTTTGATGATATGCAATATAATTTTCTCTAACTTCGGTTTCTCTTTGAGATAACCAAATATGCTTAGATTTGTCATTTCTTTTATTTACGATTCATACCCAAAGTTATGCCGGTACTCAGTAGCAGTCTCTAGTCACTAATAGAGACTTTTCGTGGTGAACATCAATTTTTAACCTATTTTGTATTTAGTAATCTTCCTCACGTCTCTAGTCCCAAAAAAAGTCACTAATTTGGCAGCTGGCTCTGAGCAGGTCACAAAACGAAAAATATATACCTAAATAATTTAATTTAATTTAAAACGAAATATTTTTGTAATTTTTCCATTTGACATCTAAAAATTAAAAGAAAATCAAATTAAAAATATAATACAAATTAAAAAAAAAAATTATTAACATAAGAAAAAAATTCAGCTGCCCGAGGACTCGAACCTCGCATTCTCAAATTAGTACAAGCTAGTGCTTTGCTCAATCGGAAGAACGAAACAATATCAGCATTTGCAATATTTTTTGAAGAAACAAAGTAACCTATTATTTGAGATATTCGTTTTCAAAAACGTAGTAGTAAATTTTGTAAAAATTCAGTAATTGATCAACCGAGAAATTGAAAACATATGTAAATAGTCATGTTGGACATTCAAGGTTACAGTAATTCGCATAAGGCTGAAAATTGGTACGCATGTTGCAAATACCATTATAAATGAAATGTCAAAAGTTCCCTTCGATCTCAAATCTGCATTCAAGGTCAAAGGTCACATAAATTTATTTTTTTGCATTTTTCAGCAAAATGGTAAGGTTTATTACAAAAATAGGTGAGACAAAAGTCTAGATTATGCAATTACACAAGCCGACATTTTTCAGACCCTGGGATCAACTAACACTTTTCCAAAGGTTTTTGATGCGTTGAATCTGAATCCAGAATCAGTTTTGCTCGATTGGCTCAGGTTTTCGAGATATTTGAGCCTACAAATGCGAAAACCCCGACTTTTTGCTATATTCTTCTTTATTTTCATTAAGAATAATTTATTTTTTTAGAAAATTTAATAAATCATTTTAAAGTAAAATGTTTCCCCTTGATAATGCTGTTTAACTCAACGAGATATCTTGTTTTAAACTTGAGATATTGTCCATTGAAGTTTATGAGTTTTGTGACGTTACTTCTTTGCACAAATGCTTGAAAGATACAACACGAAAAGAACCAGATTTGTGGTATACGTTTAGGCGTCTTTACTTACATAATGAATGTATGTGGATATGTGCGCGTGCGAACTATTCTTGATGAAAATACATAAAGAATATAGCAAAAAATCGGGTTTTCGTATGTTTAGGGCCAAATATCTCGAAAACGTAAGCCAATCGAGCAAAACTGATTTTGGATTCAGATTCAGCGCAACGAAAACCTTTAGAAAAGTATAAGCTAGTACCAGGGTCTGAACTTTTTTTAAATTTTGTAGGCCTGTGTTATCTATAAAAACTGTTATAACATTTTTCTTTCTAAGAATTACCATTTCAATTCAAAAAATTGTGTTCAACTGTACTTGTGGGATAGTGTATTTGGGGTGTTTTTAACGTGTTTCCCTGGTAGGCCTATTCCACGACTTCTTTTAGTCCTGTTTAACTAAATAACATTGCATGAAATAAAAATAGTACCACTGGAAGTGATGAAAGCGGCGTGAATTAAAATTAATTAGAAAAAACTATTAATCTAATTGATAACTACACTAGTTGACAATAAAAACCCACCAGTGGCCCTACACTTCTACCGCTTATGTAAAATTTTCCGCTGAATCTGAATATGAAGTCAAAACATAATAAACTATACTAGTTTTTGAGATATAAATTCTCTCCGATCATGACTTCATTTTTTGTACATTCGACTTTAAATTGTATAATAGCGTTGATGCAACTACGACCATTCAGTACCGTGACTACAATTCCATTAAATTTGATAGTTTGCTTTCTGATTTGAACCAATTTCCATGGGATTATTGCTGGAAATTAGTCTCTGTTGATGACAAACTAGACTTTTTAACTCAAAGCATACGTTACTTTCTAAATAAGCGCGTACCACTTCGCAAGCTAGCAATCACATCACGTTCTTGTCCTTCGTTTACCAGGGATGTCAAATTAGCCATAAAAAGCCGCAACATCTCTTACAATGTCTGGAAAAGAAAGCCCACGAACAAGAATTGGACCGCTTATAAACGAGCTCGGAATAAAGCTTCTTCTTCTGTGTGTATATTATTGTAGCAAACTCAACACCGATTTGCCCGCTAAACAGCTTTGGTTTAACTTGAAAAGGTTGGGCGTACGGCCATGCTCTGAAGCTTCTTATCCTCTCGATCCTAATCTACTTATCGCATTTTTTGTTTCGTCTAACTCCTCCGCAGTATACAATAGCTCACTACTAGGGATTTATTTTTCAGCTTTTTTCGATCCCGGGATTTTCGGTACGTCGTTATCACAATCCCGGGATTTAGATATTCATTACTTTTCACCAACTTAAATCGAAAAAATTGCTTCTATATTATTTGAGAAGCTCTCCTAACATAAAATAAATAAAAAATAAATGCGTTAGAAGTCTCTTTTCTATTTAAAGTGGCGTTTTTATTTTTTCTTTCTGACATCAGGATTTATTTTAAAGGACTCTGTAGTTTCAAATATATGATTAATTCTAAAAATTATTTAAAAAATTCAATGGAATGTAGAATAAAAATATTGGTACCAAATGCAAAAGAAAATTTCTTTTGAATTAAAAAAAATAAAAATTTTTGGATTCACAAGGACGAATATGTAATTTTTTAATCTGATAAAGTTAGAAGGACGAAATAAGAGGCTTTTATTGAGTTTATATAAGTCCTTAACATAATTTTTTTAAAAACAAATATTGCGAAATTTCAAGTATAAAATTTTAAAAGGACATTTTAATTACTATCCAGTCCTTCTGCACCAAAAACTTGAATCTGCTTAAATTCTACAGCATTTCCTCTTTAATTTGATACCCATACGTCTTCTCTAAGCAATTTTCTCTGAATTTTTTAATAATTTTTAATTACTGACGTCAGAGTGAAAGACTAAAAACGCAATTTTACTATTTGGCCTATGGTTTCGCGAATATATTGATATGTGTGTTTAAAATTTACTATCGCGCGGTGTTATATGTATAATGAGCTAGACATTTATAAAAAATATTAATTATTAAATAAAAAAAGAAATATAGCCAATACTGGTCAAGAAAAGGAGTTTCTATTATTGCCATCAGTGCAAATTACAAATCCCGAAAATCCCGGGATTATTTGCCGAGAACCCCGGGTTTTTGGGACCTTAAAAAGGCCGGGATTCCGGGATCCCGGGATTAACATTCCTACTCACTACCCATGACCACCTCCCTCAATTTACCGCTTTCAATGAAATTTCAGTTCGAATCGGTTGGGGAAATGGATGTAGCCAAAAGTGTTTACCGCGTAAAATCTGACGCCATTGGCACCGACGGCATACCAATTAAATTTATAAAAGTAATTTTACCAAACATTCTAAGCTGTCTTACACATCGGGTAAACCATTGTTTGACTACTTCTTCCTCCCCATCTACTTAGAAAGTAGGAATTATTACCCCTCTGGCCAAAAAACCTGGTGCTTCCGAGCCCGCGGATTTCAGACCCATAAGTATTTTAACAGGGTTATCAAAGATATTCGAATCCCTTATCAAAACAAATAAATGATTTCGTCGAGGTAAATAATATACTCAGCCCGCTTCAATTAGGTTTTAGAGCAGGTTATTCTTGCTCGACTGCCGTCACTAAAGTACTGGACGATATCCGTCAGGAGTTTGATCAAGGTCACTTAACATTTCTATGTTTTTTAGATTTTTCCATTTTTTTTTTTTTTTGACTGAGTCAAATGTCAACCCTGCCTGCTGTGTGCAACATTAGCTACCTTCTTTGGATTTGGTGAAAATTAGTAGTAAAGCTTATAATTATCTGTGTAACAGAAAGCAGAAAGTTAAAGTCGATAACAACTTCTCTGAATTGGCGCTCACATGCTCTGGAGTACCTCAAGGCTCTGTGCTAGGTCTCCTCCTTTTCAGCATTTTTATCAATGACATTTTCAAAACATGCTCACACGTTCACCTGCACGCCTACGCCGATGACGTTCAACTTTATATATCTAACCATATCAGCATGGTCCAAGATACAACGCTTAGGCTTAATGAGGACTTGCGCGCGATTCGTGAGTGGTATGTTGAAAACCTTCTCAGCCTCAATGCTCTAAAATATTATGTACTCAAAAATTTGCAAAGATAAAATACAAGTTTTGATATTCCTCACCTTTATAATGGTTCTACAAAGCTTCAATTAGTCAGCAAAGTGAGAAACCTGGGTTTTATTATTAATTCTAGGATGACTTGTGAGGACCACGTCAATGAAGTTGTGAGTAAAATATACTACACCTTGCGTTGCCTGAGAGTATCCTCGCCTTTCGTACCTTCAATGAAAACGAAGCTGGTTTTGAGCACAATTGTTCCCCTTATTTCTTACTTCGAAGTAGTGTACAGCAAACTCAACTTTCATTCCCTGCACAAACTCGATGTTGCATTCAACCATGCCACTAGGTATGTATACGGCTTGAAGAAATTTTACCATATATCTAACTTTAGAAACTCAATACTTGGCTGTGACCTTACAAACTATATAAAAGCTCGTAATTGTATTTTATGTTTAAATTGCTTGCTTATAAAAAGCCGGAATATTTATATGAAAA